CTTCCAGCTTCAATGAGAGTTCTGTTTCTTCTTTCCGCAATACCATTTTGTTGGGTAGTTCTAACTTCCGAGAAGTTTTGAGAGGTTCCTAAGATTGAGCAAAAAATATCAAGAGAGGAGTTTCTAAATTCAGTTCCATGATCACTACGTAATTGCCTTACTTTGTGATCATAAAGGACTTCCCACTGCTTAATGAGAACAATGATTTCATTAGCGACATGACTTTTTTTTCTTAAAAAGACTACCCAGACGAACCTTGAAAATTCATCCACAATGACAAGAGTATATTTCTTCCCAACTCTTGACTTGATCGGGACTGGTCCAAAAAGATCCATATGAAGGAGATGAAGAGGTTTTATGATTGAAGAACATGACTTTGGCTTGAACGAAGACTTGGTTTTCTTCCCTTTTTCACATGCTGAGCATAGTTTGTCCTTGACAAATTGTATCTTAGGAATTCCTCTCACAAGCTGATTTCCTACAATCCTTGAGATGTTCTTGAAGTTCAGATGTGATAGCCTTTTGTGCCACAACCAATTCAGATGAGACTGAGCACGAGAGAAGAAGCAACGACGAAGAGAGTTGTCAGCAGAAAACATATCCAGAACATAGATGTCGTTTTGATGATTTGCCGTAAGAACAATGATGTTCTTTTGATCAACAAATTTTCCTTCTCTCTTGTTAAAGAGAACTTCATAGCCCGTGTCACACAATTGACTGATAGCAATTAGATTATGCTGAAGACCTTTCACGTAAGATACTTCTTGAAAACAACAAAATTGCACTTTATGGATCCATATCCTTTTGTAGCTCCCTTGCCGTTATCTCCATATGTAAATGACGGACCATCCTTCTTTATGAAATCTTCCAGGAGAGACTTGAATCTTGTAATATGTCTTGAGCAGCTGCTGTCTAAATACCAAATATGCTCTTTACCTTGAAACTAACATGTACAATAAGTCTAAAAAATAAATATACACTGACCCACTTGCAAAGGATCACTAAGAAAAGATGTTATAACAATCATCATGGATACAGTTCAACGAGTTTCCCTTTTGATCCACTTATCATTTTGAGTCATAATATTATCAGCGCGAACGGTGTTCTTTTCAAAAGTGCACTCGCTGACTTTGTGAGAGGCATCACCACATCGATAACATACCTTAATTCCAGGATTCTTTCCTTTAACATTATATTTTGATTTCATTTCAACTGCTAAACCTAAAAAGCTTTGATTATTTGATTTAAGATTTCTTGATTTAGCTCTGTAACAAGGAATGTTATCAATGGTATGCTCATATACTACCTTGTCATGAGACCCGTGATCCTTTGAAGAGCTATCAGGTGTAGAAGGATTTGATTGATCTTCAGGTTCAAAATTGCCAACTGAGCACTGAGGAAACATGTTAAGAATTTCGTTTACAAAATGAACTTCACCATTACATATTGGAAACTTTAGCAAAGTTTTAGTAGAGGGAAGAACATACTCACGATAAGAAGGTTAGAGAGAATGATCAAGAGTAGATAATTTAAAAACACATTTAGTAATGCCATTAGAATCAGTAGAGCAGTGAGTATCGATTAGGGTTTGATTTGTAGAGTAAGAACTCACAAATCTACTTTTAAAGTCTTATTTTAAGCAGTTAGCTTCATAAAAACATAAAGAGATTTTTCTAAAGATACAAGTGTTTTCCTTTTTAAAAACATAAAGAGATTTTTCTAAAGATAGGAGTTTTTCTTTAAGAATCTTTAACTCAAGACTGAGAGAAAAGTTTTCTTTATTTGAGATCAATAAGTTGAAACGTAAGAGATCGATTGTATCATCTTTTTCGATATTATCAATAGAAGAAAGATTGATATGATTTTTTACCTGATAAACTGATGCATCTTTAAATTGAGGTCATTAGCAGTGTGAGGAGAATCAGTGTTAAGAATTCCAACGTTGTCATGTGAAGTGTCAGCGTGAGATTCAACAACCTGAGCCATGAGACACTTAACTTCATTGTCTGAAGAGATTTCCTTTTTTAAAGCAGATGATAGAGTGGTCATCATCTCTTGAGCTGTTGAGTAGTTTTGAACCAAACGATAGACAGAAAAAGGGAGCGAGTTTCCAATAGCACTTCTAGGCTTTACATCAAGATTCATCATCCTTTTATCTTCCTTGTTATAACCAGGAATAGATTTCCCTTTCAGCTTACTACTAGATGCACCATCATTGGATGATTTATGCATAGCAACTATAGGACATTTGTTGACGACATCAAGCATATCAAAATCCATGAACTCTAGAGCTTCCATGGCCTTTGATTTCTAATCAGAAAAGTTGTGTTTATTAAACGAAGGGATCTTGTTACATACATTTGACTTTGGAATGAAAGAGGAAGACATGATTACTTGAGTGTATCAAAAACTTGCTCTGATACCAATTGAAGGTTTGTGATGATCGCATACACTTCAAGTATGAATAAGAAACGTATAACTAATCTAAGCAATAGTAATCAACAGAAAGTAAATAACACAAACGTTCTCCAAATTGTTCCTTTCACAAAGAAAAGAGGTTTTGTCTTCACCAAGAAGATGGGTTTGTCACAAAGACGAATGACACAAAGCCATGTTGCACACCATTAGGTTTTTCCCTAATGTTGTATATATACTAATCTATACATGTATATCCCTTGATTATAGGGATTGTATCTTATCTATACTAAGAACCGATCCTCATCACAAGGATATCGGATCTGCTATATATATATATATATATATATATATATATATATATATATATATATATATATATATATATATATATATATATATTACACAGGATAACTATACTAAATGCTGACGCTGGTATGCTTCATACGTTGGCGTTGTCGACGTGTAGAAGCCGACACTGATAGATCAACGTGTCATGTGTTTGATTCATCAGATCATAAGGTGTGACCTTACAAAATATTTTATATGAACCATTTTTTTAGATAAATTATAAATTTTTTTGCAATATTTTTTTAAGGAAATATATAATGTAATTTCCTTTTACATAATTTATAAAGTTTTTGTAACATTAAAAATTAATGTTCATACAAAATTAAAACACACATTGTAAAATATTATTAAAAAATGATATGTAATTTCATATTACGTTCATCCTCGTGATCTTGTTATCTCTCCCACAATCATATCGCGTACTGCAGCCGTGTGTGTATATATATATATATATATATATATATATATATATATATATATATATATATATATATATATCACTATCATTTGTATGATGTGTACTTATAACTTCTTCATGCACTTCATTACTATTATCAGCTTCAATGGGATTATAAGATTCTTTTTGTTCCCTGTCAAATGCTTCATCAAATCTACCAACATTTCATATATAATTATGGACCGCGATTGATTCTATCACTATCCATACTTGGTGCTCGTATGTATAATTAACATACATATCTCTCAATAACGCCCACCTAACTTTCCACACTCTAAAAGTTCGTTCAATGATATTATGCAATGATGAGTGGCGATAGTTAAATGACTCCTTCGGCCCACGAGGATTATGCATTGCAACAGTTTGTCCATGTCGAAAATCTGGTAGATGATAACAAATGCCCGTACCTTTGTATGGAGCAAGATACCCATTAGTATTCGGGTAGCCGACATCAACAACGTAATATTTATCTGCATATAAAACAAACATTTGTTATACGTTTCAAACAAGTATGAAAAACATACAACTTTCATTATTAAAAAATTATACTAACCACCTGTTGGATGTGGAAAATGAAGATCCAGTCTCCATAAGGCTTCATTGAAAATCCTCGTGTCATGTGTGGTTCCCTCCCATCTGGCCAATAAAAATGTAAAACACATATTAAAATCACAAACAACCATGATATTTTGTGTGGCATATCCCTTTCGACCAATGTATTTCACTTCTTCAGATTGTGATACCGATGCCATCACGTGTGTCCCATCTATAGCGCCAATGCAATCCTCCAAATAAAAAATGTATATCATGATTAATTCATTTGTTAAAGTGTGACTAACATTAAAGTAACTAGAACATTAGATAATACCTTGACCATTGCATAATATTTTGGATTATTTAATATATATTCGGGTACAACATTATTATAGTTAGTGGCTGGCTTGATTATGTCGACACTCATCTTGAGAACAACTGCCAAAACCGTATGAAAATGCCTATGAATTGTTTCCCCCAAATGATTAAAAATTTCATGTAGGAACCTATTCGTACATCCATGAGCCAAAGTCATTAAGAAGATTCATATCGACTCTTCAATAGAAATATGACGTGTTCCTTTCAACCTGTAATTTGTAGCAAGATCAAAACATAATTGTCAAAATACGGGTACGCGCAGTTTAAACATTTCGTAACACCGCCTGCCACTCCCATTTAAAATGTCATTAATAAATAAGTTCCATGTGTGATCTGATGTGTGACATGGCGTACGTATGTTACATATCTTATGAATAATTATTATCTCTATGACAACTAATCCACATAATCTTTTGAATTTTAAGACCTCTTACGTACAATATTCTTCATTATCATCATATGAACTAGAGTCATCACTATCCATCCTACATAATAACAGATCATGTCAAAATTAATATATAATGTTAAATGGTAACACATCATATAAAATGCCAAGTACATAACATCAAACAATAACACATACAAGGATAACACATAATGTCAAACGATAACACATAAAAGGATAACACATAATGTCAAATGAGAACACATAAAAGGATAACACATAATGTCAAATGAGAACTCATAAAAGGATAACACATAATGTCAAACGATAACACATAAAAGGATAAGACATCAATTGTTCAAGCGACACATTAATTATTCATAAGTAAGTTAAGGAACTCCATCTTCGCGTCTTAGTCATTTGAAACATAAAAGCTTCCCGATTTTTCTTTTTGACGAAGACAAATAATGCTTGTGAATACTATGTTGAACCTTCATTGATACTTGGAAAAGTGACCACAATGTTCATGCAATCTGATAGTGTTGGAGAGGGATTAGTTGGTGGAAAAGTTTGTGTTCTTTTTTTTGATAGGGCATCCAATACAACTTCTAGTTTTTCCTCAAGATATGAACTTTTAGTCTTGGTGGAACGGTTGTTAGAAATATCCTTAGACTTCTTCCTTTTACTCGAACTAGTTTGAGGGAAACTAGGAAAAAGAGGCTCATCATCACCTAAATTTATTTCCTCACTATCTCCATTTCTCTCCATGTTTTCTTCACATTCATCATCGTTTAGAAATTGTAACGAATTCATAGAATGATCTCCCGTAGCAACGAAATCTCAAAACAAAAGAGCATAATATGTCTCATATATGGACAAATTTGTGCCCCTAAATTTGGCGAAGTCTTTATCAACCTATAAGATAAACATATGGCGTTTAATTCATAGATTTCACTATGCAAGCCTAACTACAAATGATTAAAAAGAATGATAAATGTTACCTTTATTTTCTCCTCCCACCACTCACACTACTCAGGCGATGCATCTAATAATCTTCTTGTCCCACCGATTCCAGTTTCAAGCCTCATTAAGCAGTCATAAAGCTTCCAATCTTTTTTCAAGTTGTCTTATTTGTTTTTAATTTGTTTTGGAGTAAAGACTTTGCATGTTTTTTCCTACATGCCTTTCTCTAAATGACCAAAGCTTATTGAAATGAGTATCAGATCTACACCCCTTTTCTTTTTCAGTCAAGCACAATTTGATAAACTTCATCGAAGTATCATTATCTCAAACAAATTTTTGTTTATTTTTTGTCTTAAGTGTTTCACAAGTAACAACATTTTGGTCCATTTTCTGAAAAATCCGATTCATAATCAATCAAAACAGCTTCACAATCATAAATCACAACAACCAAGAAGATTCTACCACCTATAATCATCAAATATACTCTAATATTGAAACTGAAATTATGAAGCAAAAACACATTACATTAAGCATGTAAAGAATCAGTTTCAAAGCAGGTTCAAAATCAGAAATCATAGCAATCTATTAGGGATGAGTATTTGGACTGGGGAACCGGTCGGAACCGGATAGAACCGATCGGGTCGGGACCGAGACGATATTCTTGTGGATTTTTTGGTACCGGGAACCGGTAGAACCGGCAAAAACCGAAACCGTAACCGAAATATTTCTCAAAATATGTTGCTATTTCTCGAGGACCGGTTCCAACATTGAAGACCCGACAAGAACCGGTAGGAACCGGAACCGATAGAACCGACGGTCCGATTCGGTTCCTATTTTCCACCAAATTTGGTTCCCGAGCCGGTTCCGGCTGGGTGGGTTCCGATGCTCATCTCTACAATCAATGATGTCAAACAAATGCAGGTAAAAATCAGCCTATATTAAACTGTGACGCAAATTGAGAATCTTCAAAATCAGAAATCACATTCAGAAATCATATGATTTCAACAATCATTCACAAAAAATAAGGATGCAAATCAGCTATAGTCGATCAAAAAAATATGCAAAATCAGCTTTAACATCATATTCAACAACCAATCACAAAAATAAGAATGCAAGGCGATAGAATGCGATTGCAGGTGCTTCAATCGATCAGATAGAGAGTAAAAAATCAGTTTCTATTGCAATGTAAATCGCGTGAACAAATAGAAGATAGAGAAAAAAATCGGTATTATTACTTGATACGTGAGCAGGCTCGAAATCAATTGCAAAGATGGAATCCATCAGCTGGAGCAGCACCAGAAGATGGGATCGACAACAATTGCAGGCGAGGGAAGAAAAGAAGATTGCAGATTCGAACTACATGCAGGTTTTGGGAGACGACCTACCTTCAGGTTATGGGAGTCGACGTTTGATAGCAACGATGAGGTTGTAGGTATTGGAGGCCGTCACGATGATAAGGGTAAGTTAAATGGTAGTTTTGTCTTTTAATAACCAAAGGGCTTCTAGCCCAGCGGTACCGGTGTTGCTCTCCTTCTTAGAGGTTGAGGGTTCAAGTCTCATTGGAGACATATGTGGTATTAGGAGTAGTGTAGATTTGCCGTTCTAAACAAAAAGTCAGTTTAATAAAGTTACAATTTGGGACTTTTATAAAACTCATTTGCAAAGTACACATAAAAATATATTTTAAAAGGTCTTTTATATTACCCAAATATATATTTTTTAAATTATTGGCTTTTCAAGAAATCAATAAGTCATAACAAAAACCATATTTTTTATAAATAATATATTTTTAAAATTTATATATAATAATATTGGTCGGATTTGTGAAAATTTTATATTGTTATACATGAGGTTGTTCTTTTTTATAATCGAAACTAAATTATTTTCTGGAACGATACGTGTTTTATAGGAAGTAAAGTATTTATGTGCGAGATGTTGCAGAGCATTTACTCCTGTGAAGCGGTGACGTAGCAGTTGTTTCCTCCAATCCACCTCTTTTCACTCATCTTCTTTTATCGTAAATAAATTAAAAATCTGTAGTAGCAAGATAAACACGAGTTGCTTAACCAAAAGGTAATCCAACAGAGGAGTAAAGATGCAACCGACAGGCAGTGGCGGTGGTGGAGGACTATCCAGATTCCGGTCAGCTCCGGCGACATGGCTGGAAGCACTGCTAGAATCAGAAGAGGAAGATGTAATCATTGACCCACCAAAACCACCTCCACATCAGCAACCTTCCATTGCAGGCACCCCCACCCCCTCCAGACCTACTTACGTTGATCCCAATATCTTCTTACCTAGCCGACAGAACAGCTCTCCCGCCGAATTCTTTTCTGAGATCAACAATCCTGATGCCTATCTCTCCAATTACGACGTCTACCTCTCCTCGTCCTACCACAACGTTAAACCATCCAGGGATGTCGATGTAGACGACCAACAACCCAAGTTCACCACACAGCTCGTCAGTTTATACATACATTTTTTCATTATTTAATACTGCAACTTGCTTATTATATATATAATATCAAATTAATTAAGACTGATTTTAAAACTTGGTTATTTAGAGCGGAGATCAGAGCGCGTTGTTGGATGTTGAGATGGATAAACTTCTGGGGGATTCGGTGCCGTGTCGAGTACGAGCAAAGCGCGGATGTGCCACTCATCCTCGGAGTATCGCCGAGAGGGTAACCTTCTGTTCTGTTCTGTTGTTAGGTTGTTTGAATTCGTAAATGGTGATTAGAGAGTAAACTGGTGAAACTAATTTGGGTTTTAAGGTTAGAAGGACTCGGATTAGCGACAGAATAAGGAAGCTCCAAGAACTGGTTCCGAATATGGATAAGGTAAATCTCTTTCCGTCAGAACTTTCCTTTATTGGTAACTTCTTTAAATCTGTCAATGGAGGCACTGTACTGCCTTTTCCCTGTATATCATGTACCGAATCCTACCTGAGATGAGGAGCACTTTAAAGCCCTTCCTTTTCAATCCAAAATTTAGTTGGGTTCTGCTCCAGATTTTGAGCTTGTACTTTTTCTGTTTTTATCAGTTGCTATATATAAGTTTATCCTACTGATAGTCTTTCTCTTCCCTGAAGGATAGATATATCATCCATATCAATTTTGGAGTTGATTAGTGGCTGTTTTGACCAAAATAGTAGTCGTCTCTCTTGTTTTGGCAAAGGATTAGGAAGACTTGCTTATGCTCATGTTAGATGTTTTGGTTTTAAGATTATGTCTGTTTATGAGATTAATCTAGTCTCAAAACGTACACTGTGAAACCTCTCCTGCTTTAAGAGGAATATATAACTCAGAAGGTCTAATGTGAGATGGGTTTATGATGCAGCAAACCAATACGGCAGACATGCTAGAAGAGGCGGTTGAATACGTCAAGTTTCTGCAAAGACAGATTCAGGTATTATACATTGACGCCTCCAGCAGTCTTATTATGTTGCCTTGTTTACAACTATTATACAGGCGAGGCTTACTATATATATGAACTACATTGTCATGCTCTTATTTGGGAGAATTAATCCTAGTCTCTGATTTTGTTACCCAACACAGGATACGACAGAGCAACATGGTTTGTATATTGTGCTTGTTTGGACCAAACTAATAAAAATTTTAATTTTTTGTCCAGGAACAAGGTTGGATAAAGAGTCGTTCATGATCTCTCCTCTACGGAAAAAGACGTGAATGCCATCTTCATACTTAGCTTATTATTGGAAATAAACCTAAAAAACTTATCTAGTCCGTCTTGTCATGTCTCTTCTAACAAACACAAACCAGTCTTGTGTATGTTGCATTGGACAGGAGGACTAGACGAGCTTTTTAAGGCTATTTCGGATGAGGATGAGGTAAGCATTCACATCTTTGAACAGACATGAGATCAAGGACGAGTCCCCATCCCACCTTGTTCTACCTTTTCGGGAGATACAGATACAGAAAAATTGCAATTATTTTCCCATGGACATCGATTGGAGGCCAAGCATAGTAACTGTCTGTCATAATGTTCATAACAAATGGAACCAGTTTAATATATAAACTTCAATCCCCCCCTTAAATGCAGGAACTAAAGGAGCACCGAGACAAATGCACATGTGTGGTTGACGATTGATAACAGAAAAGAAGCTAACCTTTTCTCAACGTTGTTCAAGGGATCATAATGGAGGACTGTGGTGCTTATTCCAAAATCTCAGATCAAATTATATTTTTCCTTTCTGAACCAAGGAAATACCATGAGAAGTGAGTAAACTAGCCAGGGGGTTATGTGTTGTTGGCCACTCTCACCTGTGTCATTAGTACCATCTGTTCTCCATTACACCTCTAGGATTTCCTTGCTAAATACTAAACTTATCAATGGCTAATACTCTCACGTGTATACTTGCTCTTGCTACTCTTTGTGTTTTCTTGGGAACTATGTTATCTTTTAAAATGCTATGCCAAAATGAACACCATTGTGTCTTAAAATAATGATGTCCGTGTTTGATATATAACCAAATAGGTACAAAAAGTAGCACACACACACAGACCAAAGCAGGGCCTATATATAAAACAAATGTGAAGTAAAAGAAAAATATTGAACTTCAAAGAAAGAGACCGTGGAAACAAAAATTGAACCAAACACTAAACAACAAAAGCCAATGAGAAGAACATACCGACCATTGCATGAGTAGATCGGCTGTGGGAGATTCCGGCAATGGAATAGGGTCGAAGGTCATTCACTACAAGAATATCGATCTTTAGTGACGACGGGCGTCGCCGCTAAAGGTCAAAAATGTTGCCGCTAAAGGTATTAGCCCCTAATGCTTTATGTCGTCACTAATGCTCTTCTAGCCACTAACGCTCTCCGTAACCCCTAAAGGTGTCGCCATTAATTGTAGTTTTCTCCTTTTATTATTATTATTATTATTATTATTATTATTATTATTTAGCATTATAAATGCAGAAAAAACGGTATAAATATAGAAATTTCAATGACATATTAATTGCAGAAAAATAAGCCAAAACATTAAAATTTAATAATACGACGTCCCCAAGTATAAACCAAAACACTATGTGCAAGTTACGTTTTAATTTTAACAAAATATTACATAAATCGTACAAGTAGCTACATGTCATTGTCACTCCCCCGGGTCCCCTCATTCCCTTCGGTATCGTTTTTGGTGGCAACGATCGAAACCATTCTTCAAGTGCCGCACTATATACCGCGTCTTTTAGCATTGTTTGAAGCATATCCAACTACAAAAGAAACAACATAAACTTATAAGTTGAACCAATAACTTACCTAAATATAAGCAAAGTACAAAATATATTACTAATATATCATACTATAAAACTAACAATTATCAAACTATAAATTACCAACATATAACCAAGATAAACAAATGTCAAACTACAAATTACCAACATATCAAACTATAACTAAACTAACAATTACCAACATATAACTATTATCAAACTACCGATTACCAAAATATCATACTATTGCCTAACTAACAATTACCAAAATATAACCAACTAATAATTACCAAACTACAAATACCAACATATCAAACTAAACCAAACTAACAATTACCAACATATAAATTATTACCAAACTAACAATTACCAACATATCAAACTATTACAATGTAATGCCTATTATTCTTGTAGTGATTCCGACAATGTAATGCCTATTATTCTTGTAGTGATTTCGACAATGGAAGGGGTATTTAGGCGTTGGTAGGGAGGTTGTATGAAACACCCCGAATATCATAGGATAAAAATTTCATTTTTAACATATATTCAAATATTCATTTATCTTTATTCAAACATTTAAAGTATTCCAGAGTAAAACAATTATCAAAGTAAAATCCCAAAATCACGAATTCCTGAAAAACACGGGTGTATGCGCTGCGATCAAGTCGGGCCCTTCCCTTTCGAACCGGAAGTACCTGAAACCATAAACCACAAATTGTAAGTACAACGCTTAGTGAGTTCTCCAAATACCACATACCATACATATCAAACGAGCCATACATATCATACATATCCAATCAATCAATAAAAGTGCTACGTGCCAACCATAGTCTTGCCATTATGTCACGAGCCGTATCATGGTCTTCCTTGCCAGGCCGGGGGCGAAAATCTTGGGTCTTACAGACAAGATCCAAGAGCCACCTTCTGGTCTTCCATGCAAGCATCACAAAGACAACTAGCATATAATCTACAACTACTTAACTAATTAACTGCCAGAGTTTAGACTCTGGTCTTGCATACAGATTGCCAGGAGCCGCCTCCTGGTCTTTCATACAAAATGACAAGGGCTACCCACGGGTCTTCCTACAATACATAATCCAAATGGGCCGCATTTGTGCCTTCGACCCACAGAACAGTGAGGAGACTCACCTCGAATGTTGAAGCTCACTAAAAAAAAAATCCCTAGCTGCTGCCCTGACGACTCCCCGAGCTATCAGTACAAAATAATACCCAATTAGCAATTGGGTTCCATTCTAAGGCCCACAATCCATACTTGGGGTAAAATGACCATTTTACCCCTGGCCCAACATGAACCAAAACCGAGGGCGAAGCCCATAAACCAAAACTGCCCAAAACCAAAAGATCCACAAAGGCGGAAAATTGGGCCCAACCCCCATATGGGCCTTTATCCTAAGCCCAATAATTTCCTTAGCCCAAAAGTTGATCTCAGATGGCCCAAAAGGCCCAAAGCAACAAAGTGGCCCAAAGATGTGAAGCCCAAAACACAACAAGTCCAAAGCCCAACTGAGCGCTTTACGCAGGGCGTACACTCAGCTACGTTGGGCGTACTTGACGAATCCAGATCGAGACCTTAACCCAGTACACTGGGCGTACCTTCAGTTACGCGGGGCGTAAACTGACTGGTTCCAAAACTGACTTTACGGCTTAACCACTTAATCACTTTGCACCCACACTTCATAGAACCTCAAAATAAAGCTCTTAATGCATAAAGTCGGCACCTTCATGCATTTGCATGACTCAATGGGACCCAACAACCATCTTAATCCATTAAGACCAATTCTAATCCAACTAGAACATGCATGGACCATTCTTAAACATCAAGCAAGCGTTTTTATGAACTAACAACATCAGAAGAGGCAATATTTATCACTCCAAGCTCTTGGAGTGACTCAAACTCACAAGGATAACTCAAAACCAAAAAATAAGCACAAATCTAGACCTAAACCCATAAAGCATAACAAGAAGCCAATGTATGAACTTGATACCTTAAATGAGCTGGAAATGAAGCCAAGATTCTAGATCTATAAGTCTTCCTTTTTGAACCACAAGCTAGCACCAAGCACCTTTTCATTGAATATGAGCAAAAACACACCAAAATGCACACTTAGATCTCACAAACACTCAATGAGAGGTTAGGGTTTCTGAAATGAGGCTAGAAGTCAGTGGAGGTTGAGAAATAAGAGAACCTTGAGCTTATAAGGATGTTTAAATAGTGCCCAAACCCTAAAAATTAGGGTTTGACACTCTGCTCATTACGTTGGGAGTACCCCAGCTTACTCTGGGGGTACTCACCCAGGCACGCGTCACTTACCATGCACGCATGGGACTGATTTGCATTTCTTTTTCATTAAGGGCCATTTCTGTCAATATTTCAAATTGCCCCAACTTCCTCATCTTAGGTCCGTTTCCAACGAACCTTATATCCACAGAAAGGTGGCGAGAAGCCCTACGTTTCTAGCAACTCACCATAGCCTTAAAACTTCCCAAACAATAATCCAAAATTCATAAAGGACCGAGTTATCAAATTATGATTATACCCTTGGGCTCCGAAAACACCATCGGTCACTTGGATCACTTAAACCATAACACCCACATCTGAAAAGGGCCAAATCCCTTCTTCCTTAATGCCCCAAGCCTAATGACAACTGATGATTGAACCGCAGCCCTGAATAGTTAAGCAAATCCAAAACTGAGTGTTACATTGTAGGTAGTAATGGCGAGGACGAAGGAAGTGTGAGGAAGGATTTCGTGAGGGAAACGAAGACCGATAGGTTTTTTTAAAATAAAACTAAAATTAGTTTGTAAATAAAAGTTAAAACACCCTAAAGAGAGCACGGTATAGGCTTATAATGGTGTTTAGGAGCCGACGTGGCAAGCCCTCAACGCCATTAAGGGCTATGGAACACTACCCCCCCCCCCTTGACGTTAAGGAAAGCCATGTTATGCTTATAACATCTCTTGTTGGGAAAAACCAACCACTCAAAAGATTTTGACCATTAAACGGTGGTAATTTAAAAAAAAAATGTTACCCAATTTTATTCACACCATTCTTTTTTTTTTTCTCTGAATTTTATACAATTTCAATATCTCTTCAAAAACAATTATACATCCTTTTGACTCGTCCTCTGATGATGATGGTATGTTCATCCTCAAGAGTATTACACTAGCGAGCTACAAGAAGCAGATGTAGCCCCTCTACTAAAAAGACGCACTATGTTAAACAAAAAGCGCGAGAAAGGACACGAACGTCTATATGAAGATTATTTTGCAGATAACCGTGTATACCAATCAAAGGATTTCAAACGAAGGTTTCGTTTGAGTAGGAATGTGTTTGTACGGATACCCATCTCCTTGGAAAGCGTGTATCATTTCTTTCATTTTTGTACATATTAAATATATCTTCATATAATATTAATACATATTTTTACCTTTTGGTATATGTTTAGGTATTGTTTTTTGCAATTGAGATATTATGTTAGAGGTAGGCGGGGATTCACATATTAGCATAAATGTGTTGTGGCAATTCGGCTGATGGCATAAGGGGAGTCACCCAATTCCAATGACGATTATATGAGAATATCTTAAAGAACTATAGGAGAAAGTTTTCATAGATTGTCAAAAAGGTATTGTTGAAACATTCGTTGACGTTTATTTGTGAAAACCTTTGTTTCATGGCATGCAACAAGTATATGCGGTACATAAAGAAAGACATGATTTTCCCGGTATGCATAGAAGCATTCATTTCATACATTTGAATTGGAGAAATTGTACCCAAACGTGGAGACGGAAATTTGAAAGTGGTCATCACGGAACGCATTCTTTGGTATTAGTGGTTGTTGCTTCCCAAGATTTTGTGGATTTGACATGCTTATTTCGGGGTTGCGGGTTCCAACAACGACACCAATATTGATCAGGCACCAATATTCAACGATATTTTGTCAGGAAAGGAATCGTTTGTTCCTTTAACATTGAATGTAAACGAATATAAGTTTGGAGAAAAAAAATATGTAACACCTTGTTTTCACTTTATAGTATAATTTATAGTAAACGTCTATTTATGAAATTCAAAGTGTAAATACATTTCGTTTAAGCCTATATATTCTATATGGAAGTTGTAGTAGACAAAAATACAAATCCGTGAGAATAAAGAACACCAAAATCTATTGTCATATGAGTTAGTTATGATTTTTCGAAGTTTCGCGTTAGAG